ACGAGAGAGAGAGAGAGAGAGAGGGAGAGGTGGGACGAGAGAGAGAGGGAGAGGTGGGACGAGAGAGAGGGGGGGGGGGGAGAGGGGGGGGGGGGCAGAGAGGGAGACAGAGACAGAGACAGAGGGAGGATGTGGCTAGCTGGCCTGGAGCAGACAGGACCCAGGAGCCTGAACACTGCCTGCTGAGCCAGTGCCTCAGTGGGCAGTTTCACAGCATTAACCCACTGAACCCCTGCAGCTGTAAAGTTGTCGGGAAGATTTGTAGCTCGGGTTGTGGATGAAGTTGTAGATGTTCTCGCTGAGCTGGTGGGTTTGGTTGCAAATGTTTTGTAACCCTGCTGGGTAACATCGTCAGTGCGCCTCCAGTGAAGTGTTGGGTGTTCTGTCCCGCTTGTTATTTTCTTGCCTCAGTTTGCAGAGGGGGCGGTGGTTGGGATTACTTCTGGTTCTGTTTCTCAGTGGTTTGTACACAGGGTCTAATTCAATGTCACAACAAAAACAAAGTTGCTGGAAAAGCTCAGCAGGTCTGGTAGCATCTGTGAAGGAAAAAACAGAGTTAACATTTCAAGTCTGTGACCCTTCCTCAGAACTGAGTTCTGAGGAAGGGTCACCGGACCCAAAACTTTAACTCTGCTTTTTCCTTCACAGATGCTACCAGACCTGCTCAGATTTTCCAGCAACTTCTGTTTTTGCTCCTGATTCACAGCATCTGCGGTTCTTTCGGTTTTTATTGTGTAATTCAAATTGTTTGTTAATGGAGTTCCGGTTGGAATGCCAGGCCTCCAGGAATTCCCTGCTGTGTCTCTGTTTGGCTCGTGCGATTATCAATGTGTTGTCCCAATCGAATTCGTGTCCCTCATTATCCATGTGTACTGAGACCAGTGAGAATTAGCCGTGTCTCTTGGTGACTAGCTGGTGTTCGTGTATCCTTATTGTCAGTTTTCTTCCAGTTTGGCCTATTTAGTGTGCCTCACAGTCCTTGCATGGTATTTTGCATGTCACACCAGTGTGGGGTGGCACAGTAGTTAGCACTGCTACCTCACGGCGCCAGGGACCCGGGTTTGATTCCACCCTCGGGCGACTGTCTGTGTGGAGTGTGCACATTCTCCCCGTGTCTGCGCGGGTTTCCTCTGGGTGCTCCAGTTTTCTCCCACAGTCCAAAGATGTGCAGGTTAGGGTGGATTAGCCATGCTAAATTGCCTGTAGTGTTCAGGGATGTGTAGATTAGGTGGGTTATAGGGGGATGGGTGTGGGTGGGATGCTCCGAGGTTCGGTGTGGACTTGTTGGGCCGAAGGGCCTGTTTCCACACTGTAGGGATTCTATGATTCTGTTGCTGGTTGTGGGTATGGGATCCTTTATGTTTATCAGTAGCTGTCGCAGGATGGTTATTGGTTTGTGGGCTACCCTGATACCTAGGGGTCTGAGTGGTCTCGCGGTCATCTCTGAAATGTCCTTGATGTACGGTAGGGCGATTAGTGAGTCTGGTTCGTGTTGTGTCTTCCTGTTGTGGTCTGTCTCGGAGGTAATGGCGGATTGTGCTTTTCGGGAATCCATTCCTTTTAAAAACTCCTCATAGGTGCTCCTGTTCTGTTTTGCATAATTCCGGGTTGCTGCAATGTGTTGTGGCCTGTTTAAATAGTGTCGTGATGCAGCTCTGTTTGTGGGCGTTGGGGTGGCTGCTAGTGTAATCGAGTATCTGGTCCATACGTGTGGTCTTTCAGTATACGCTAGTCTGGGGTTTCCTGTTTCCCTGTTGTTTTTGCGTTCTACCATTATATCCAGAAAGGGTAGTCAGTTGCTGTTCCCTTTTTCTTTTGTTACTGTTATCCCGGTGAGGATGTTGTTTATGTGTCAATGGGTATCTTCTAGTTTTGTGCGTTTAATAATCAGGAAGGTGTCATCTACATAGCGGAACTCGATCAACAAACACATTGAACTGGACCCGATATACAAACCACTGAGAAACAGAACCAGAAGCAACGCCAACCACCCCAGCAAACCGCGGCTTATAAATAACAAGGGGGACAGAACACCAACACTTCACCAGAGGCGCAATGACAACGTTACCCAACAGGGTGATGAAACGTTTGCAGCCAAACACACCGTCTCAGTGAGCAAGTCTACAGCCTCACCCCTACAGCTCGCTGCCACAGAGAGGGAGGTTACCTACAGGCCCCTGCCCCCCGCCCTGGCATCAGCTGCACGGGTTTCATACCTTTGCGCAGAAACGGCACATGGTCATCCTCGATGGGGCCATAGTAGGTGTCTCCATTAAAATACATCACTTCAACGGAGTGCTGCTGCAGCAGGCCCAGCTTGTGAAGTCTCTTCTCTACAGAGAGAGGGAGAGACAGAGAGACAAACAGAAGTTTACACACTCACACACTCTCACCCTGACACACACACACACACAGCGACACACGCACGTAACACGCAGTGACACACACGTACACATGCACAGCGACACGC